CCACCCCCCCCCGCGCGAGCCAGTTCTCCCCCGCTTCTCCTCCCAATCTCCCTTGGCCAGTCCTACTGCCCACATCCAGACCTCCTTCCAGCGGCTGCTTCCTTCCCCCCTCCCCCATCTTCCCCGGCCAGCTCCCTACCCTGACCTCGTGCCCACTTGCAGCCCTGCTTCCCTCTGTCCCCCCATCTCTCCCGGCCCCCTACTTGTCCTCCTGATCTCCCCCGGCCAGCTCCCTGGCCAGCTCTGCTTCCGTCAGCTGATCTCCCCCCCCATTTCCCCGTCCTGCCCCGATTCCCACACCCAGTGCTGCTTCCAGTGGTCAGCTCTCCCCTCCTCCTCCTGACCTCCCCTATCTACGCCTCTGCTGGGAGCCGGAACATCCGGCTGCAGATTCTGCCCAGGCCGGCCGCGGGCTTGGGGGACCCGGCGCCACATTTGGGAGCCTGGAATACCCCAGAAACCATGCTGAGGCCTGGTATGTTTTTCCTGTGGCCCGGTACTGGGCCGCGGCCCATAGTTTGGGAACCACTGATCAAGATAATCCTGCTATAAGAGTGCCAATGACTGAGATTGGGATTTCCAGGTTTGTGGGTCTTAGGTTGCAGGCAGAAAACTTCTGGTCTGGGACTCCGGGGTCAGGGTAGGGGAGTTTGTGTAGATTTGGTCCTGAATTGTAGGTGGTTTAGGGGTGGGGTTTTTTTGGTATATTTTAGGGGGATCAGAGGAGAGAAGCCTGTAGAATCTGATGTTGGAGAGTTTTCTGGCAGCCTCTTACACATAATCTGTTCTGTTCATGATGACTACAGCACCCCTTTTGTCAGCTGTGTACAGCATTGCGTTCTGCATGGCTGAGATTATATGTTAAATGTTGTTGTTTGTTGACAGTGTCAGCCTGGGCACGTTTGTGGAAGCAATCGATGTAGAAGTCGAGGCTCTTCTTATGGCAGTCAGTTTTTTTTCAGTTAGACTAACACAGCTGCCCCCCCGAAACTTTTGAAATGGAATTCTATCTCTGATTGTTCAGTGACAAGTCAGTTTTCTCTAAATTGATAGCAACTTTCTGGTCTTTTTTGAGCATTGCTGTATAATTGTGTGTGTGCTATGTAAACATTCATCCTATAACTTTTTTCTGAGATGCGATAAAACTGTAGGATTAGCAAATATAATTACAACTTTTCAGTGTAGCATATTTCTATAATTTTAGGCATGTAAAGCAACTTAAATCTGTGAGCTAGAAGAAAATTGATTTGATGTGCACTCAGACACACTAACATATTGTTATGTAGTTTGATCTCCATAGATTGGTGTTAATGCCAAAATCTGAAATCCTTGCTCAGTTTTTGCCCTTTACCTTTTAGATTGCCTCAGGATAAGATTACTTGGTGATTGCCTATTCTTTAATGGGTTTTCCAACTTTAATTTTTTTACAACAAAAATTACTTCATCTTTGGGAATGAGGGACTGAAGCCTGATCCCATCCAAGCCTTGCTGCCCTTTCTAGAGTGTATGTGTAAGTCGAGGAGGGAAGAGCAGGCAAAACTAATGCCTTGGGCTCAAAGGCCTATAATCTGAAACCCTCAGACTTTGACTTTGGCAAAGGCTCAGGCTTTAGCATAGGGTGGCAGGGCTCGAGCTTTGGCTTCAGGCCTAATCAAGTCTAAACCAACCCCGATGACCCCATTAAAAGGAGGCTGTGACCCATTTTCAGGTCCTGACAGATCTTTTAAAAAGCTTTGGTCAAATCCAAGGAACTGGGGACTTGGCCCAAAATTAACAGGATGTTAATCTTCTGTGTATGATTTTTTAAAAATCTGCCTCTTAATGGTCTGTTAACTTTTTTGGTACTGCGGCAATATAAAACTAAAGTTTTATGGATAATGGCACTTTCACAGAGTGCTTGACAGATATTGACCTGATTAACTACATATACTTTTAAATTTTGTATTTCATTGTGAAATATGGGATTTCAGTTCGGCTGTTTTTGGAAGGTTTTCTTTTCAGAATTTGAAACCATACATTTACATATTCAGATAATATTATATTTGGTCTTCCTAGATCTATTCCTTCAGTAATATGGAACATATAAAGTTACTTTTTTTTAGGGTGGGCGTTAGAAATTAACAGTTCTGTATTTTTTTTAAAGTAGTTTGAAAATAAAAAATAGGTGGAGCCATGGTTACCCAAACCCTAATTAGCAAAGTCCGATATAATTACTGTAATGAAATATGACTTCAACATAAGATTTTCTCCATGTGAAAATGTCCATTAGTGTGCAAGTTGTGCAGGCACCTCAACTTAGAGAGTTTTATTTACTGCAAGCTCAGTTACTTGAATAAACTTCCATATCTCTTGTTTGGCCTTGAGCTGGTATTTTACTAAGGAAGATCAGCTACAGAAGCAGTGTTAATCATATCAGCCAACAAAGATGTTTCCTGTATTTTTGACTGGACTGGGCCTATTGTCTCCTCTCTTCCCCCCCCACCCCCCGTGTTTGGTGTCTTTGTAGTTTCTTTACCTCAGCTTCACACCACACTTGCCCTCAGACCTTTCTTATGTCCCTTTTCTGATTTTTTTTGTCCCCTCACTTTTTACATTCCATTGACTTTGTTTGAATTCCTTAACAGATTTTTCCCCTCACCCCGCCTATCTCCTGACCCCAAAATTGGGGAACTGGTCTGTTGGCTTGTGTATATATGCTCCTTTTCCCTACTCTTTTTCTTGGCAGTTTAGATTGTAAGTTCTTTGGGGCAGGGACTGTCATACTGCTGCCTATATGTACAGTGCTCAATACAATTAACCCTTAATCTTAGTTGGTCCCCAGGCATTGTCATACTAAGCATTTGTGCTTCTGTAAATCAGATTGGTCTTTAGTTGCCCATTTAAAAAATATTTTGAAGAGCAAAAGCCAGCACTGAATTTGAATTTTTAATGAACACAGCATTTTTTTTTTAGTATGGAATTGTGCACTGTATCTGAATTCATGCTGTACATTCCTTTTACCCATTTTAGATGTTGGATGTCTATGATATTCTTCCTTTCGATAATCCAGATGGTGGAGCTTGGAAACAAGGATTTGATATCACATACAATGAAAATGAATGGGATGATGAACCTCTTCAAGTGTTTGTTGTGCCTCATTCACATAATGACCCAGGTAATACACTGTCATATGGATTTGAAATCTCGGTATTTATCAGCTTAAGGTATGTCTGATTTCAGCCTTCTTTTGGTGTTAAGGTTTGGGCTTTCCCGAATCATTCTGCCTAGTGTATTAGGTATTGATTCACCAAAGCATTTGAGCACGTGCCAATATAGCTCATTGTCCTGGTTTGGAACTACTCAGGTGCTTAATTATTTGCTGGATCAGAGCCTTAGCGGTGACATTTTGCATTGGAGTGTATTGTGGAATTTCTAGATGCTCCTGCTATTAAGTCAAATGGAACTACTATACATTACTGCGTTAAACCAGTTCATTTTAATAAGACTTTTTTTACCAGCATGTGGAATCAGAAAAAAGTCAACTTGTGATAATTGATTTCTTTAATACAAGTTACCAGTAATAATAGGCTTGTATCTTTAGAAGCTGATGTTATATAGGAGAATCTAAATTTCTATCATTTTCTTCCTCATTGCTCTCACTAAAATGGATAGCAAATGTAATCCTTCCTTCCCCCCAAGAAGAGTTCATGTTTCTTATGACTAAGTGAGGTTAAAAGTGTCATAGATCTATAATGTTTATATCTGTGGTCTTGCACCTTTTTAAACCACAAGTTCACTTTTTCAATTTAAGTGCAATGTAAGTTCTACCTCAAACCCAAATACCCTTGCCCCACTTCCCTTCCTGCCCCTTCTTTGAAGCCCTGCTTTTCTTCCACCCCTTCTGCAAGGCCTCACCCTACTCACTCCGACCCCCATCCTCACTCACTTGCACCAGGCCGGGGTAGAGAGTTGGGGTGCAGGCTCTGGTTTTGGGCCAAGGGGTTTGGAGTGTGGGAGGGGCTCGTGGTTTAGCCCAGGGAGGGAGATTTGGGTCCAGGAGGGTTTTCAGGGTGTAAGCTCTGGGAAGGAGTTTGGGTGCGGGGGACTCATGTCTGGGGCAGGAGGTTGGGTGTAGGTGGTGGTTCAAGGCTGGGACAGGGATTCCGGGCTGGGTGCTGTTTAACTGAGACTGCTTCCAGGTGGTGGAGCAGTGGGGGTAAGGTAAACTTACTCCTGCACTGGCCCTGTATCACTCCTGAAAGCAGCTGGCATGTACAGAAGTGGCTCCATGGCACCATGTGCTGCTTCTCATCTACAGGCACTGAGCCTACAGCTTCTGCTGGTCACTGTTCCCCATTATTAATAAATGGGAGCTGCAGGAGTAGTGTCTGCAGGCAAGGACAGCATGTGGAAACCCTCTGCCATACCTTTCTCAGGTGCTGCAAGGACATGCCAATCACTTCGAGGAGCAGCAATTACCAGATAATTAGTCCAGCCACGACAGGTTAGGTATTTCAGAACACACTGCTCAAAGAATTACATTTAAGCATAAGAGAAATGAAAACTATGAAATGCATAGAACAGTCAAAAACACACTTTGCAAGCAGTAAAAGGAGTAATAACAATCCTCCCACGTGTGTTGGGTCAGGAGATGAGAGCAAAGGATAGTGTGTGTTTGTGAGAATGACAGACACAGCCACTGTGTGAGTGACAGAAATTTGCATTGCCAAGCTCTGGTCATCGAGTCCAGTCTCCTGCCCTCACAGTAGGACCAAGTACCATCCCTGACAGATTTGCTACACATCCCTAAATGGCCTCCTCAGGGATTGAACTCACAACCCTGGTTTTAGCTGGGCAATGCTGAAACCACTGAGATATGCCATTCATATCTTCACATGGGAACAAGAAAAGGCACAGGGTTACATGTAGCCCTGATATACAGGGCTATTCAAAGTAAGTTGATCTTATGCAGGTGAAGTGCATGCACACCTGTACCAATGGTGGGAATCTCACAGACTACAATACCTTGAACTCACAACCCTGGTTTTAGCTGGGCAATGCTGAAACCACTGAGATATGCCATTCATATCTTCACATGGGAACAAGAAAAGGCACAGGGTTACATGTAGCCCTGATATACAGGGCTATTCAAAGTAAGTTGATCTTATGCAGGTGAAGTGCATGCACACCTGTACCAATGGTGGGAATCTCACAGACTACAATACCTTGAAGAATAACTTCAGAATTTCATCTATGGTGTTGAAGAGTCAGAAAATATGCTAGCAGATGTTAGAGCTTATGTGCAATTTCATTTGTAGCTCTTGAAGAGGCTATAACCTTGTACCAGGTATAACGACATTTGAGGCTCTAGGTCAGGGCTACTCAACTTGGGAATCCGCGAGGGCCACAATGATACTTTCAGCACATCCCGAGGGCTGCAACTTAAGTGTGGTTGTATCTACATGCAAAAATATATGGAAATAGCTTTTTCACACTGATGGGCATGAATACAAAGATGAAGGCAAAACTACACGACACACAGGCCCCATTTAAGGCAGTTCTGCTGATAATAAAATGTAGTATTACCTGATTTCCACCCGTATGACAGCAGTTTTAATGAGCAATGACAGTCCAGGAATTTAACTACTAAAATGCACATCATCAGAAGACCATTATATTGACTACTTTTTTGTTTTGGTTCCCACCTGCAGGCTGCATGTTGAGCCCTGTGTAAACCCAAACTGCACCACAGGCCGTGAACAAACGGGGCTGTGGGTTGAGTAGCCCTGCTCTAGGTAATAACACCCTTGCCTGCGCCAGCTGAAACGGTTACTACCGTGAACCCTGCATAACAAATATATTTAATTATTCTCATCATTGCATTTTAGTCTAACAGTGGTTACTAACTTTTATTTAGACTGCAAAAATGCTCACTGCTTACTATTAATGCCAACAGTAGGCACATTTGAAATTGTGGATGTTTAATGAAAGCTTGGGCCCATACCTTCTGGCAGAACTCAAGATTTAAAGAGTTGGGAGAGATTGCATCAAATTCTGAAGAAAGTTTCCCCTCAGGTCCCATTATGGAAACTTAGAATTGTCCAATGTGTACAGAACAATTGAGATGGTTTACCAGCTTCTAAGTATCTGTGATCTGTTGTCTAGAAAAAGAGTTAAGTTGCCCTGCTAATGACTCAGTGCTTCATTCCCCATGAAGCAGTCCAAACTATCAGCCATGTTTCCTTTTTATCTTGGCCCAGGTTTTTCATTAGACTCATTTTTCGCTCTAGAATTTCAATGTGTACCATAAATTCTAGGCTGTCTTCACCGTGAAAAAGATATTTTCCCAGTGTGGATAAGTAAATGTTAGCTATTGCACTGTAAAATTCTAGTGAAGATAAGACACTGTCTTTCTTTTTTTTTTTTTATGAGGGGGCTTCTGGGAGAGGTCAACACTATGCCACCCCAACTATGGTTAACTTGGCTTGACTACCTTGTGGTAAAATTACACTAATTTGTCTCCACTAGGATTTGCAAACATGCTTTCATTATGTTGCTGAAAAAAACATCCTTCTAAAAATAGTGATAATAATCTCTAGTATGGTAACTTAAATCGGATATTATGAATTAGTGTGTCAGTCTGAGTTTATATTAACTTTTCATGCAGTACCCTAAACTAATTTGTGTGTCACATGGAGATGAGATGAGCCTTACACTGTATTATAAGAATAATAAAAAAAAATCTTAGTTCTTATAGTCTGTTTATATCTGTAGGTCTCCAAGCTTTCCCACGCTATGGATTACAACTCACAATAGTGTCATGGAAGGTTTATAAGATTTTGTGAGAACTCATGCCAAACAATAAAAAGGAGGTGAAAAATGCATCAAGCCCCCTAATAGTGTTTCACCCTCAGGGTACCCTCCTGCTAGTGGTTCAGGAAAGGATATGTGTATGTGCTGCAGGCTGATACAACTTCTCATAAAATGGTATTTTTTACTGTGGTAATGCATAGGAACCATAGTGGACCAGACCTCATTGTGCTAGGTGCTGTGTAAGCACACTGCAGAAAGATGCTCCATGTCCCATGAGATCTGCTTTATATAAGAGAGCAAGCCCTATTCAAATGTTTATTATATATAACACAAAGCATATAGATTGGGGCAAAATGTGTCCCAGAATTACAACCAGTGTGCCTGCTGTAAACTTAAGGAACTTGAAGGCACCACTGAGCCTTAGATTTTGGAGCTTCTTGATTTGGAAAAGAGATTCTTTTGTGGAAAATTCCTCTGTCTGTAAATCTGACCTTGTTAGCCCTATAAATTGAAATGTAAAGGCTTCTGAGAGAATTAATTATATTTATATGTTGACTTGAAGTCTGTACATATTTTCTAGGTCAAAATAAATTCTGAGAGTCTGTTGAAAAGCTGGAAATCTCTTCTCAGTGATACAAACCCTACATTTTTAGTCCCGAATAATTGTGAAGTAGATCATTCATAGGCTGAATGAGGTTAGGACTTGAATGCTGTCTGCACTAGGTTTTAGGGAAGTATCATGACAGTGAACATTCCATATGATGGGAAAAGGAAACTTTTTTGATGCTGTGGAAAATGTTCAGAAAGTATAGAGTTTAGTAATCCTAAAGAAGATGCCTTAGTAGAGAGACTGTGGTAGGGGCATTTAAAAGTGTGGGATAAATGCAAATTATCACATGAAACTGCAAGTTACTATGTGGCTATTAACTTGAGACTGTATGTTTAACCTCTATTGAATTTCTTTTAGAAGGCCCCAACTTAAAAAAGAAAAGGTTTAGGGTATGTCTACACTACCCCGCTAGTTCGAACTAGCGGGGGTAATTTAGTCATCCGCAGTTGCAAATGAAGCCCGGGATTTGAAATTCCCGGGCTTCATTTGCAACTGCGGATGACTAAATTACCCCCGCTAGTTCGAACTAGCGGGGGTAATTTAGTCATCCGCAGTTGCAAATGAAGCCCGGGATTTGAAATTCCCGGGCTTCATTTGCAACTGCGGATGACTAAATTACCCCCGCTAGTTCGAACTAGCGGGGGTAATTTAGTCATCCGCAGTTGCAAATGAAGCCCGGGATTTGAAATTCCCGGGCTTCATTTGCAACTGCGGATGACTAAATTACCCCCGCTAGTTCGAACTAGCGGGGT